GATTACGGATCCTGGCGAACGGCAGAGATGTATAGACATGTACTGCAGCTATACGAATTAATAGATAAAAGAAACTGGTTTCGGGACACTGTATATTACGAACTAAAAGGGGCGGCTAAATTCCGTTAATATAACCGAAGTTCGTTATAAACATATAATGTAATTTGAAAACTGGACATATTAATCAACAAGGAATTCAAATGACTTTGCACGTGATCACATCAAGCAGTTTTAATTGCAGGTGTACAACTGTGAACATAATGGATTTGTATGTAACGTCGAAGAGCACGGAGCTTGACAAGCTTTCAACTTGTTTGTTGTTTAACGCCGCACTCAGCATTACTCAAGCTATATGATGGCAGTCTGTAAATAATCGAGTCTGGACCAGTGATTGCCATTATGAGCATCGATGCATAAACCAAGTCAGCGAGCCTGACCACCCGATCCCGTTAGTCGCCTTTTTACGGCAAGCATGGGTTGCTGAAGACCCGTTCTACCCCGGATCTTCACGGGTCCTAACAAGGTGTGAATGAGTTTCAACAGTATTTCAGTGCAACATGTGCCGTCGGGGAAGGCCTGGCGTGACGCAGGTTATATGACATTGGCCTCATTGGGGGAACCCACGAGCAAAGGATTGGTTCTCATGGACTTAGGATCATCTGGCAGCTGGAACCCAAGACTTATTGCTCCTGGCAACTGACTACTATCAATTGAAGAAACTGTATATTCAATTAATGCACCATTAAAGTTGTATGTAATTTAATGTCTTTCTCCATTTTTAGCCAAATCACGGCGGGGGACACAAACATATCCTACACACATTCTGTTCACGAAGTGAATCGAACCCAGAATGTTTTCTGATTTATTTACAGATCTAGATCGCTGTCATATAGCTGGAATATTGGTGAGTTCGGCGTTAAACAACAAACAAACAAACAAACAAACAAACTAACGTCTTCCTTGATGTCCACCCTTCCAAGAACCAATTTATGGATTAAGCTTCACGTTTGTGTAAATATCCCTGGCCATTTCAACATTCCAAAGAGCCATGAACGGAAAATAACCTGGGACATTGCAGCCGTTGCAAGAATGAACGTGTTTCTGTTTCTCTGGACATGCTTCGAGAGGCAAAAAATAGTCCAATGTTTTTTGTTTCACCTGAATGTAGCTTATTATTCCAAAGCACCGGAAGTGACGTAAGATTTTCACATACTTGAGACCTCGGTGACGTTGGAATTCTGCGCAGACGAACAATTTGAATCAATATACATGTACAGTTATATAAAGAATCAGATGCAGTTGCTATCGATTTACCCCACAGTTGGCATGTGGCATTGGCTAGCATGCAATGTGTTTCAACAGGAATAGTAAATTTCACTAATATTTTGATTCGAGATTAGGGACAGACTAATAGGTATTTTTGGAGGTTGCTGGGATTTTATCGAAAACAATAAATTGTTTAAAAAATGCTTGAAAAACAATTATGCGTCGGGGCATTGGAGTGAGAGAGTGAGTATGGTTTTACGCCACTTTTAGCAATATTCCAGCAATATCACGGCGGGGGACACCAGAAATCGGCTTCACACATTGTACCCATGTCGGGAATCGAACCCGGGTCTTCGGCGTGACGAGCGAACGCTTTAACCACTAGGCTACCCGACTTCCCCCGGGGATTGGAAATAATTGATTGTCTGCCAAAAAATACATTGTTGCAATGGGTGTTTTTTAATAAAAATATTAAGGCTCATTCTTTGAATTAAAAATACAATCTGGTTTTGAAGATGTAGCTGAAAATATCCAGTCTTCATACAAAATCCCACCAACCAAAAGTTATTACATGCATGCAAAATGTTGCATCTGAAGGTAAATAAAACACGCCAGAAAATGAGACATGTTGTTGATATCATTGTAAGAGACAAAAGCTTTCATCGTTGTCAGTCAGTTTTGTTAAGCGTAGCTTTGAACACATCTTCCCGAGCCAAGTGAGTTAACTGTGAAAGTCAAGTTTTTATCCTTGCTGGGCTGGACTTGCTGGGATCGATCGTAGTGCCACCACTGGCTATTACGAGTTATGTCCCTTCTATGTCCCTCCTATTGACCAATCAGATTCCACATCTCATATCACTTGCATTTGCTTCAAACAAAATACGGGGCCCTATTGAGACGATCTAAGCGAAAATCAAAATCAAGATTGTGATAAAACAGGTCTTACTTTGCGAAGTGCATCAAAGTACGTGAGCACCTTGATTAAAAACCTGAAAAGATTCGGAAAATATCTTTTGACGCAGAGTTGGTGGTACACATGCTTTGCAAATCCGGCAATCGATCGAAATTTGCTAGGATGTTAACGAACATGATGTCCATTTCGTGACGCGATTTTGGTTAGACTATGCATAGACTCGTTAGTCCAGCCAAAATATAACACCCCAATTCCAGCCAAGTTCGGCAAGGGTTGAAACTGAAAACTTTTAAGGTCAGTTAATCCCCTTCCCTCGGGAAGATGCCGTGAACAGTTTTAGTTATATCAGGTCGTGTCAGCTGAATCCCTTCTTACCACTTTATCCACGAGCACGGGTATGGCCCTGTCAAACCTAGAAACATAATCAGGATGATAGGATTCTGGTACGCGTAAGGGACACAACTCTGCACAGCGAATTTCTCCAGCTATTCCAATTGGGTGGTGATGCTGATCATCCTGTCTCTACGATGACACATTAGGGGTGAGTGAGTGAGTGAGTGAGTGAGTTGGGTTAACGCCGCTTTTAACAGTATTACAGTTATATCACGGCGTGTCAGCTTAATGTGGGAGGAAAGCCCGAAGTGATCAAGGTCTCGGAAGTTTACCACTTCGGTGAAACCCACGAGCACTGGTATGGTGCTGACAAACTTAGAAACATAATCGGGGCGAACCGGGATTCGAACCCACAATGTTTCTGGCGTGCCCAAATCAGTTATTAACAGTCTACTTCATGGACATTTCACATCAATATATCGGGAGTACAACGGGTACACTGTGACTGCTCTGGGGGCGGTCGGTCAGCCTAGTGATTAAAGTCCCGGGTTCGATTCCCGACATGGGTTCATGCGTACAATGTGTGAAGCCCGGCCATTTCGCGTGTCCCCCGCCGTGATACTGCTGGAATATTGCTAAAAGCGACGTAATACCATACTCACTATTGTTCCCTGGGCTCGGCTGTACAAAGCCAGTTTAGCCCTTACAGTATGGTAACTACCATACTTTTAGAGTTTTGCTGTAATCGGTTTGAGGACGAGGGCCACGTCCTGTAAAGCGATATTAGCACGAAGACGATCGTTTCTCTCATATTATTCTGAGTCGTAGCGCTAGGGTAGAGTGACCCGTTCATCGTCCTTGACATAGCGCTAGGGTAGAGTGACCTGTTCGTCGTCCTTGACGTAGCGCTAGGGTAGAGTGACCCGTTCATCGTCCTTGACATAGCGCTAGGGTAGAGTGACCCGTTCATCGCCCTTGACGTAGCGCAGGGTAGAGTGACCCGTTCATCGTCCTTGACCTCAGTGAATGTTTGCATGACTGTGTGTCATTGTGTCAACGTCCGAACGTTGTGACCCCTGCCGAACACAGTCGCTATGCCTCTGCACGTGGTAAAACACGAATAGTGCCACAACCTTGTAGCTCGCCTAACTAGTCTGACTACAGTCACATTATTTTATTATTTACACATTAACGTTTAGACTCTCTTGGTGTTGAGTGCTTTCTGAAAAGAAGATGTTATCAGAAGAGATTTCTTATTAATATGGATTTAGCCGTGTCTGTATTTTTATTCTGACATTGTTTACCAAGTTATGTTTTAATGATTCTCAACATTGATACATCCCATGATGAATTTTGGAAGTGTCCTTCACATGTCTACAATAAATAAATTTAAAAAACAACAAGCTTTACTGAGGCCTTGGATGTTGTAACTCGATCAGCTTTGAAGAGGCGACTAACGGGATCGGGTCGTCAGGCTTGCTGACTTGGTTGATGCATGTCTTTATATTCCAATTGCGCGGATCGATGCTCATGACGTCAATCAATGGAATGTCTGGTCAAGATTCGATTATGTACAGACCGCCGTCATATAGCTGGAATATGGCTGAGTGCGGCGTTAAACAAACCAACCAACCAACAAAAACAAACAAACGCTAGATTACGACGCATGTTCTTTGCCCAATCATTTACAGAGCGATGCAGCATTGGATCGGGGACCTACTAGGAAAACACTATGGGACAGCCCGTAGCTCCGTGCATTGAAAAATCAAAAATCGAGAGATGCGGTTACCCACGGAAGCCTTTTAGGGCCATTTTTTTTTTTCGAAACTATCTTGAAATTTAAAGATACTAATTTGAACTTAGTTTCTTGAAAATTCAACTTAGTATCTTGAAATTTCAAGAGAGTATCGAAAAAAATAGAAAAAAACCAAATGGCCTTTAAAGGCTTCCGTAGGATCTTGATATTTCAAGATTATTCACTTATTCACGTATTTTTACATCTTAAGATGTTAACTTAGTATCTTGAAGTTTCAACTTAGTATCTTGAAATTTCAAGAGAGTGTCTTGAAATTTCAACTTCTGTATCTTGAAATTTCAACTTAGTTTCTTGAAATTTCAACTTCTGTATCTTGAAATTTCAACTTCTGTATCTTGAAATTTCAACTTAGTATCTTGAAATTTCAACTTAGTATCCTGAAATTTCAACTTCTGTATCTTGAAATTTCAACTTCTGTATCTTGAAATTTCAAGATAGTATCGAAAAAACAACCCCAAAAACAAATTGCCCTAAAAGGCTTCCGTAGGGTTACCGCTGTTTCTTCATGACCAGACGGAAGGACGGGCTATGACTAAAAAGGACATGGCGGACAATCGCGAAAGTGAACACTACAGCACAACGGAAATTGTAAAGTTTATTTGCTTCATACACAGTTGCTATTCCAGTATTTTAATTCTATATATTAACAGTGGCTATTTACAAGACAACCACTTTCCTTTCAGCTGTTTATTCAAATCTTTGCTTTACAAGACCAAGACATGGATCAGTGTTTCTGTTCTGGATGCAGGTTTCTGTTGGCCAGAGAACGCAGACCTGGGGATAATTACAAACAACACGATGTTAGCACTGGTCAATGAATGGGGCCATGTATTCAGTGTGACTTATACGTGTGTACAGCTGTCATGCCGAGCAACGTGATGCTTTGCGTACGCCGGTACGACTGATGTGGTCTGTACGCCGTGACGACCAATCGTCCTAGCCATTCGGCTACTCCGCCCAGTTAGCACATGTACACAACAATGATAATAATAATAATAATAATAATAATAATAATAATAATAACAATAACAATAATAATAATTAAAAAATAATTAAAAATAATAATAAAATTCTTTGGAATAGGCCCGTTTACAGCCTCAGACGTATCCAGGCCATCAAACCTGATCTTGACTAGGCAGCGCTTCCTGGGAGAAGTCCCATTCGCTGTCTTATATTTGAATTGTAGTTTGATCAGGGACGTTATCGGTGTTATTTGTATACACACACCTGCAACAGCTGCTTGGAAGCCGGCGTTGTAGTCACAGGCCACCTCGTTGTTGACGTAGTTGGCGCGGTCGTCCTTGTAGGCGTCACTGTCGTCAGGCCCTCCTACCAGAGCTCCGAACAGGGTGTGGACATTTGGCTCATGACTGGACATGACCTGGGGCCCACACGCTGATGGGGGCCAGGGGCAGGAACTGAAGGGGAGATAACTCTTCTTAGTTACACGAAGGTGTAAATGTCTTTTGAGACGGTGACTAATTGAATATAGTATAAATGAGGTGAAATGCGATTTAACGTCGATTTCAAGATTATTGCACTTCTGAAAGTGCCATTTTTAAACGTCGTTTGGTATGAACAACCGACTTTCCGCTTTCCGGGCAGACGCTCTATCTATGGTGGCGGTAAACTGTTTTATAAGCGTAATTTAATTAAATAACTGTATGATGGAAACTCAATGATGATGTTTATCTCTAAAAAATGGACATTCCTTGAAAAGTGCACTTTGCAATTTTTGTCATTACTGTAAGAAATATTCCTGATCGGTGGAATGGCTTGTTTTCATTTTGTAAGTATTAGCACACATGAAGAAAAAAGAGTCAAGAGATTCGTGCTTTTCAAAACTCCTTTATCCACACGAGATCTTTCGCCGTTCAACTGAAAGCTTTGTTTGTTTGAACTTTGAAAGCTTTCATCACACCCGAAGAGCCGTTAAACGGGGGAAAATCTTGTGTGGATAAAGGAATTTTGACAAGCACGAATATCTGGACTCTGTTAATGTGTGTGTGTGTGTGTGTGTGTGTGTGTGTGTGTGTGTGTGCATGTGTGTTTCTTTCTATCTGTCTGTCTGTCTGTCTATCTGTCTGTCTGTCTCTCTCTCTATCTATCTATCTATCTGTCTGTCTGTCTAAGTCTGTCTGTCTGTCTCTCTATCTATCTATCTGTCTGTCTATGTCTGTCTGTCTGTCTCTCTATCTATCTATCTGTCTGTCTGTCTATGTCTGTCTGTCTGTGTGTCTCTCTATCTATCTATCTATCTATCTATCTGTCTGTCTGTCTGTCTGTCTATCTTTCTATCCGTATTTGTCGAGTGGTAGGCGAGACGTCCAGGAATCCAGCTACACTGAGGTTGTAAACACGTATTTCCCACTAATAAACCCCGCCGTGATATTGGTAGTTTTTTTTATTAAAACGGCGTAAAACCAAACTCACTCACGAACTTAAGATAACCAGCCTGTTAGATGCCGGAACGATATTCTTCGATGCTGACCCCGCGTCTTCTGAGACCTGGCGGCCTTTAGAGCACACGTCTAACGTATATCACTCCGACCTACACGTACCTAGATCTATGGTGAGGGCTGTGAGCGAAGTCCTTCCCCATCCCTATGACGTAGCTGAAGCCGGTGTCCCCGAGCGCGTAGTGGAGCTGTTTCATGGCCCACTCCCGGTACACGGCAGGGTTGATTCCCTCCTCGGCCGCCATCAGTGCCACCAGCGCCATGTTGGCTGTAATACATCACGTGACACACCGAGCTGGTAGGACAGTACACCATGTTTTGTTTGTTTGTTTGTTTGTTTGTTGTTTAACGCCGCACTCAGCAATATTCCAGCTATATGACGGCGGTCTGTAAATAATCGTGTCTGGACCAGACAATCCAGTGATTGATATCATAGGCATCGATCCACGCAATTGGGATACGATGACATGCATCAACCAAAAGTCAGCGAGCCTGACCACCCACTCCCGTTAGTCGCCTCTTACCACAACTTACGAGTTGTAGAGTTGTACGAGCATTTGTATTGTAAAGATAGAAAATTGAGTGAGTTTGGTTTTACGCCGCTTTTAGCAATATTCCAGCAATATCACGGCGGGGGACACCAGAATTGGGCTTCACCTCATTATACCCATGTCAGGAATTTAGAAATACGTCGCAATTAATGTGGAAAGGTAAGGTACAGTTGTATAAATTAACTCTTATGCATGATTCAAACAGTCCCGATTCAAGGACAGGTGGTTTCCCATTTATGGGCTGTGAAAACTAGTACACACATTGGCGAAAATCAGTCAATCAGAACGCAGTTAAAATGACACCTGCCAGGATTTTCTTTGCTTGTTTTTTAACACCGCACTCGGCGATATTCCAGCTATATGACGGCGGTCTGTAAATAATCGTGTCTGGACCAGACAATCCAGTGATTGATATCATGGGCATCGATCCACGCAATTGGGATACGATGACATGCATCAACCAAGTCAGCAAGCCTGACCACCCGATCCCGTTAGTCTAACCCAGATCTTCACGGGTACAACCCGCCTAAAAGAGATTATGACCTGCTGTGCTGATTGAGCTGGTGGATAGGGACACTGCTTACGACCAATCACCACTTACTGTCACTTACACGCATATCTGAGAGATCCCCACTGCAGCCTCCACGCCAGACCTTTAGGTGTGTACCTGATGACCTGGTTGGGGAACCAGTATTTCTCGAAAGTGTCTGTCATGTCCTGCTTGTACTTGTCGTTCTTTGTGAGCTTATAAAACAGAACCTGTAACGACAAGGAGTAGTATTTATTGTGGGAAATTCGGTAAAAAGATAAATACGACTTCCCACTTACTTGTTCTACAGGGCAGTTAAAATTGGGGCCGTTGACAGTGAAACTTGAACACAGTAACGAGTTCGTTCAACCGATCTACTCCTGATCGGACGTACAACAAAATTCTTAACACATGTTATCTTACATAGTTTGTATTCGTAAAGATTTGAGCTGAATTCAATGAGATCAGTTAAAACCCATCTTTAACATTGCATAGCATACATTTACATTGTATGTCGATTTCCAAGATTACTGATACGGCGTATTAAATACTCACTCACTCCGATAACTTTGAAGACGAACTATATCCAAAGTGAATGAATAAGGTTTTACGCCGCTTTTAGCAAGATTCCCGCAATATCAAGGCAACACACAAGGTTCACACAAGGTACGCCGTTTTACACATTGTCGGGAATCGAACCCGGGCCTTCGGCGTGACGAGAGAACGCTTTAACCACTAGGTTACCCGACCGTCCCAACTATATCCAAAAAACTTGATATGCATGAACAACGAGAACTCCTTAATGTGAGATGGAGTGCTCAGTAGATCAAACGCCCTCAACAACAAACTGAACAAACATCTCAGCACCTGCCAGTTTATCAAAGACTTCAAACTGAACAGAGGAATAAGTCTCATTACTCTGTCTGGAATATTCACTTCAATAGGGAAAGGTGTGAGTGAGTCAGTGAAAGAGTTTAACGTCGCTTTGACCAATATTTAGGTCTTAGAAGTTTACTACGGAATCAAAACGAATCGGTAATTCGAACTCCCGTGGTTCCCTTGACCTCTTAGAATACTTAGACCTCCACCCCACACCATTTTTTCCAAGATTTTAGTCAGCTCTCCCAAGAAGTTAATGCGTATTATATACTTGAGTGCACACTTATTTGTATCCAACTCGAACGACTGAACGCTTATCGCAGTTGCAGTACTATTTTTAGACGACCCATGCTGAGCGTTTCATGTAACTGCGATGTGCAGTGTTACTTGATACTGTGCTGCCATGAGCCCCTCAACTATTTCAAGAGTGAAATGCGGCAGTAATAAGTATATCGTCTGTTGTAATTTTGTTTGTCTGTCAGGGATGAAATCTTGCATCAGATCGACCAGGTTATCTGCTATGGTAGTCGTCTGGGGCCATTCGAAATAAGAACAGCGATCTGATTGGATATCGCGCTTTCATCACAAGGGGCACAACTCGTGCTGTAAACGGGGTGGCGCCGCGATCAAACCAAGAAAAGTAGGGTCAAAGGTTTTCGTTTTAGGGAAGGCAGGTTAGATTTTGTTACCCTTTGTTAAATACCATTTTTTGGGCCTAAGGTATTTTACATCACTGTTTTGACCCTCGCTCCAAATGGGACAGAAACCAAGGTGAGTGATTGAGTTGGGTTTAACGCCGCTTTTAACATTATTCCAGTTATATCACGGCGTGTCAGCTTAATGTGGGAGGAAAGCCCAAAGTGATGCAGGTCTCAGACGTTTACCACTTCGGTGAATCCCACAAGCACGGGTAAGGTGCTGACAAACCTAGAAACATAATCGGGGCGAACCGGGATTCGAACCCACAATCATAGGTTTCTGGCGTGCCCAAGGGGCGCAACTCTGCACAGCGAATCGCCGCGCCTTAGACGACTGGGCCACCTGTGCCCCCCAGAAACCAAGGAATATGTAAATATAACTTATCAATGCAAGAGAATAACTTGATTATCAACCGAAACAGATTCCATTTGCCGAAGAGGGCAAAATAGCTTTGAAGTTATATGAATGAAGCACTGAAAAAGTGCTGGCGAAAAGGGTAAGCGTGGGGGTAAGACATGCGAAAGGTAAATGTAAAGAATAACGTACATTGTTGGCCGCCTGGTTGTCGTCCCAGCTCATGCCCCAGGCCTCCCCGGGCTGGTGGTATTTTTCGGCCTCGGTCAGGTATTTAGTGTCATTTGTTGCCTGATACAGCCACAGTCCGGCCCAGGCGTGCTCGTCTGTGTTGTTCGTGGATCTACGGTTTGACAGTGAGATGCTCAGAATAATACAACAGTAAAAGTATTTAACATTGTCGATACTTCACCGGTTTGTACACACTACGATCCTCTATTGCCCGTGAACATATACGGTCGCTTTTCCAGTGATGGGTGTGGTGAGGTGAAATTGGGTTTAACGTCGCGTCCAAGATTATTGCACTTATATAGCGACGTGTATACACGTGTGTGTGTGTGTGTGGCTGCTTGTACTAGTCCTGACTGATGCCGATTTATAGTGCTAGCCCACTGAGATACCATGCCGCGGTTTAACATGTATACCCAACTCAGACACAGTATACTGACTCCGAGCCGACCAGTTTTTGTTTTAGCCCCTTAATGCCGAGCGCCAGACAGGGTAACAACAAGTGCCATCTTTTAACATCTTTTGGTATGACGCGGCCGGGGATCGAACCCCGCTCTCCGGGTGGACGCTCTACCACTAGACCACGGAGGAGGTCTCCAGTGATGGGAATAAAAATAACAAACAGCAGATTTTGTTGGGTAAAGGGTATTCATTACCATGTACCGTATTGACATTTAATAGACTATTCCCGAGTTTGAGTTATTTCGCAATTAATCGTTCTCATTTGGAGCCAATCGGACTGTAGTTGCTGTTTTCAACCAACGAATCAAGCCACGGCCTGGTTGAAACGAGAGGGAATACAGCGAGTGATCTGGCCAATGAGCGCTCAGATAACATCGCACAAACTATAAATAACCATTTCTCGTGCAACGTTAGCCACAGTCTCGCGGCCACCAACTCTACACATTGCTTCAATGTCAGGCAATGGTAGGGTTCGCACAGAGTTCATGCACGGAGAATGCCTCATTTGACTAACGTGAGGTTTTCACAGCCTATTTTCATTACCTGAATAAAAATGGACACGCGTGACAGTCCCTAAGTTATTCTTCTGGTGTTATGACAATTTTGTTTTCAATACGGGCGCTACTGTTTCAAGAGAAAGATGTTCTCAACAACATGCTGCACGCCTTAACTGTAAAACCTACTAGTCCAGGCCTCAGTTAAATACCCCCCCCCCCCCCCCCCCCCCACCTCCTTCCCCTCCTACTTGTACAGCACAACTTACGGGTAGAACTTGGCGGCGGCACTGACGCTCTTACTGTAGCGGCCTTGGTGTTGCATGGCGAAGTCGTACAGTTGTTTGGCGTGGGTAAGGAGGGTGCTGGCGTATGCGGGATCTGTCCGTGTTCAGTGTACAGCTTTAGACATTCGTTTTTTAAGACTAGTCCAGAGGACTAGTCTGAACATTATTTCCCTAGTCCTCAGAGTCTGTAGCTAGGTCTGCTTGAACAAGATAAAACTGTTTGCTGTTTACATTTTCATTTCAGCCAGAGAGCTGGTTCAGAATATAGCCCTCTAATAATACTAACCAATGAGCATTACCATCACTGGATTCTTACTTATCCTCTGCATAATTTTGTAGTTTCGGGCTAGCGGACAAGCGTGTATTTCCAAAGCACATTTTATGGATCAGTGGAGAGGCGGCGTGGAGTCAAAATCTGAATACAAGTACTCATAGTTCTGATATGGATTTGTAACTCCTGCCCAATACCCTAAACTATTCCCCTGTCGGGTCCACCATTGTGGAGGATAAGATTCTGGTTTGTTTGTTGTTTTGACGCCGCACTCAGCAATATTCCAGTTAATGACGGCGGTAAATAACTGCGTCAGGACCAGACAATTCAGTGATTGAGCATCGTTCTACACAACTGAGATACGATGACGATGACAACAAAGTCAGCGAGCCTGGCCACCCGATCCCGTTAGCTGCATCTTACGACAAGCATAGTCGCCTTTTACGACAAGCATATTCGCCTCTTACGACAAGCATATTCGCCTCTTACGACAAGCATAGCTAGTCGCCTCTTACGACAAGCATATTCGCCTCTTACGACAAGCATAGTCGCCTCTTACGACAAGCATAGTCGCCTCTTACGACAAACATAGTCGCCTTTTACGACAAGCATATTCGCCTCTTACGACAAGCATATTCGCCTCATACGACAAGCATAGTCGCCTCTTACGACAAACATAGTCGCCTCTTACGACAAGCATAGTCGCCTCTTACGACAAGCATATTCGCCTCTTACGACAAGCATAGTCGCCTCTTACGACAATCATTGGTTGCTGAAGACCAATTGTAAACCGGATCTTCCCGGTCAGCAGCATGGGTATACACCAGTCAATGCACACAACAACGTTAGAGTTTAAAGTCTATGTTCTACAATATCAGATACAATTCCATTTAATGCCATCATGTCATACCATTCTTCCATGATAGTTTTGCCATGGAAATGACAGGACGAAACGGAACATGAAGAGCTGTATTTTTACCCAGTACTCCGAAACTAGGAGATCCTTTTTTTGTTTATACAATTGAAAAAAATGCCCAACCTATTTCCACAAGGACAGGGTTGTGTTTAGATTTGTGGTGTTTGCATTTAGATGCACGATAGGCCAACAGATGATTAATGCGCAAAGAACAAGACATCAAATGACCTTTGTCTTTGAAAGCAATAGAGCCAGCGGCCATTGCAGCAGCGGTTTGTCCAGCTACGTCACTTCCGGGACTGCTTGCGGTTATCTTATAGGCGGGTCTTGCCATCGTCATGTCCTCGGGTCTTCCCCAAAAGTTGTGATCTGTATCTCCGTTTCCGACCTTGAAAATGATTGGTTGTATATATGGTGGTACATATATTTCACATGCGATTCTCAGATAAAGTTCGGGGCCACGGGTGGCCCAGTCGTCTAAGGCGCCGCGATTTGCTGGGCAGAGTTGCATCCTTTGGGCACACCAGAAACCTATGATTGTGGGTTCGCATCCCGGTTCGCCCCGATTATGTTTTTAGGTTTGTCAGCAACATAACCCATGCGTGACCAACTCGTGTTATTCAGGGACAAGCCGAATAGCGACTCGTGCCCATCTCGTGGCCATTTTTGTGACCGGGTTCCCTCTTAGCGCAAACGGGCATACCTAAAATAATTGTCAACTCGATGCGTAATGGTTCACATATATTTCCCCATATATTATATATATTTCAGATGCAATTTAAAGCACATCGGGACATGCGGAATTATACAGCATGATTGAACACATTTAACTGTGTCTTGGGTATATTTTTAGATGCAAGACATATCTAAAATCAAAAATTATTTCTGAGGGATTCTTTGACGAAGAACTTGAAATCATACGCGCATTCTGATTGGTTTGTCGTATTTTCGCAAATGACACTCATCGATAGGGGGACGAGTCTTCTTGCAGGTTACGGAAAGGGGCGAGTGGTGACGAATGCAACATAACCGTGCTCGTGGGTTTCACCGAAGTGGTAAACGTCTGAGACCTGCATCACTTCGGGCTTTCCTCCCACATTAAGCTGAAACGCCGCGATATAACTGGAATAACGTTAAAAGCGGCGTTAAACCCAACTCACTCACTCACTCAGATGAAGCTCATTTACATTTCAGAATCGAAACATAAAAAATAGCATGCACTTAATATTCCATACATAGAAGGTACCTTGTCAATACTGTTTGTTGTTGAACGCTACACCCAGACATATTCAAGCTATATGACGGCGGTTTGTTAATAATTGAGACTAGTCAAAGCAATGATTGATATCATGAACATCGATCCAAGCAGTTGGGTTATCATCACGCAATCAACCAAGTCCCTGACCACTCGATCCACTTAGGACATGCATATGTTGCTGGGGACTTATCCTACCCCGGAATCCTCACAGGATGTTAAAAGTAAGGATACACTGATGGCCGTGAAGATCCGGCCTGGAATTGGTCTTCAGCAACCCATGCTTGACGTAAGAGGCGACTATGCTTGACGTAACAGGCGACTAACGGGATCGGGTGGTCAGGCTCGCTGACTTAATTGATGCATGTCATCGTATCCCAATTGCATGGGTCGATGCTCATGTCAATCACTGGATTGTCCAGACTCGATTATTTACAGACCGCCGTCATATAGCTGGAATATTGCTGAGTGCGGCGTTAAACAACAAACCAACCAACCAAACAACAATGATCAGCGTTCACTCACCTGTACATACAGCTCGTCCTTGGCTGTGTGACACTTGAGGAGGTAGTCGAGCGGCCACTTGATACAGTCGTACATGTGGTCAAGCTGACCGGACTTCTGGTAGGCGTCCTTCCACTGGATCAGACTCCAGGTCAAGATGGTTGTGGTAAACGCCATGGGCAGGTTAAACTTGACATGATCACCAGCTGAGAAGAGGGAGTATTGAAGGTAACAAATGTTATGTTTGGGTTAACACATTCTCAGTAAAGTACAAATTTTAGTACTGTTTTGGGTAGAGTCCCATCTGGGATTCGAACCCACACTCTCAGAGTGAGGCACCTTATCGCCAGCACATAAAGCCGGCGATCTAACTCACATCCGTGATTCGAACCCGCACTCTCAGAGTGAGGCACCTTATCGCCAGCACACAAAGTCATCGGCGATCTAACTCACATCCGTGATTCGAACCCACACTCTCAGAGTGAGGCACCTTATCGCCAGCACACAAAGTCATCGGCGATCTAACTCACATCCGTGATTCGAACCCGCACTCTCAGAGTGAGGCACCTTATCGCCAGCACACAAAGTCATCGGCGATCTAACTCACATCCGTGATTCGAACCCACACTCTCAGAGTGAGGCACCTAATCGCCAGCACACAAAGTCAGCGATCTAACTCACGTCCGTGATTCGAACCCGCACTCTCAGAGTGAGGCACCTAATCGCCAGCACACAAAGTCAGCGATCTAACTCACGTCCGTGATTCGAACCCGCACTCTCAGAGTGAGGCACCTAATCGCCAGCACACAAAGTCAGCGATCTAACTCACGTCCGTGATTCGAACCCGCACTCTCAGAGTGAGGCACCTAATCGCCAGCACACAAAGTCAGCGATCTAACTCACGTCCGTGATTCGAACCCGCACTCTCAGAGTGAGGCACCTAATCGCCAGCACACAAAGTCAGCGATCTAACTCACGTCCGTGATTCGAACCCGCACTCTCAGAGTGAGGCACCTAATCGCCAGCACACAAAGTCAGCGATCTAACTCACTCTGCCACCGAAGCTTCCACAAATAAGAAAGTCCGACAACTGGTAGTCTAGATCACGTACGTTGTGTGCCCCTCTGACAAGTGTAAATTGGCACGGCTCCCATGGCCGAAAGCTATGAATATACTTTCTTAATGGCATTGTGTATTCATGGGGAGTTTGAGAATATGGAATATTCGCTGTGGAGAGAGGTAGTGAACTTGTAAGGGACGATATCAACAGTGGAGTTCCTGTATGCTTTTAATGATAGAGGGGGCGGTCGGGTAGCCTAGTGGTGAAAGCGTTCGCTCGTCACGCCGAAGACCCGGGTTCGATTCCCGACATGGGTACAATGTGTGAAGCCCATTTCTGGTGTCCCCCAACGTGATATTGCTGGAATATTGCTAAAAGTGGCGTAAAACCATACTCACTCACTCACTCACTCATTTAATGAGGGGCGGTCGGGTAGCCTAGTGGTTAAAGCGTTCGCTCGTCACGCCAAAGACCCGGGTTCGATTCCCGACATGGGTACAATGTGTGAAGCCCATTTCAGGTGTCCCCCGCCGTGATATTGCTGGAATATTGCTAAAAGCGGCGTAAAACCACACTCACTCACTCATTTAATGATAGAGGAACATGCAATCTAACGCATGCCGTAAACGTTTCCCGCTTTAGTTCAACTCACGAAAAACCGGGTTCATGTTATACATATACAGTGGTACTCACTGTCATACCACCCCCCAGTGAGGTCCTCCCCATGATCTCCCTTGTCCCCCAGGGCGGAGTCTCCCCTCCCCCTGTACAGTGGTACTCACCGTCATACCACCCCCCAGTGAGGTCCTCCCCATTATCTCCCTTGTCTCCCAGGGCGGAGTCCCCCCTCCCCCTGTACAGTGGTACTCACCGTCATACCACCCCCCAGTGAGGTCCTGTCCATTACTTCCCTTGTCTCCCAGGGCGGAGTCTCCCCTCCAGGGAATTCTGTTGGACGCTGGGAGTTTCCCTGATCTCTGAGCCTCGTAGAAGAGGATGGACTTGAACAACACTTCATCATAGTTGTACTTGGTGCCCCCAGCTGTGAACAGGTCCAATTGTAGAAATTCAGCTGTCAGTGCATTTAAGAGAATAAATGAAAAGCCACAGAGGACCACATAGGCTAAAAAAAACCTAAACAAATAAAAAATTAAATGTAATTTCTCCGTTATAATTTTGTTGGTTTTGTCCACCTTATGGTGTACTGTCTGTCTATTTCTAATATCCCAAATATGTGTACAGCAATTTTTAAGGAACGAAATATTTGAGACGAGACTTCCTTTTGTCCGAGATATACCTACAACATCAAATTGCCCCTGGCTGACATTATGTTTCACTGCCAGCGTGGATGATTGAGTTACAATTTAACGTCGCATTGGCAATATTTCAGACACTGCGCAACCAGATTGATATTCAGAACCATAAATGTCCAGTTCATATATACAATAATGTTATCATTTACTTTATATTTTCACTACTCTGACCCGTGAAGATCCGGGTTAGAATAGGTCTTGCTTGCTGTAAAAGACGACTAAGCTTGTCGTAAAAGGCGACTAACGGGATCGGGGGTCAGGCTTGCTGACTTGGTTGATGCATGCCATCGTATCCCGATTGCGTGGATCGATAGTCATGATGTCAATTACCGGATTGTCTGATCCAGACTAGATAATTTACAGACCGTCTTTATAGAGCTGTAATATTGCTGAATATTACAAAACACTTGTACAATGATGTGTTTGACTGAATGTTCACTGACTGTTCTTGATAGCCGGGTAGCTGCCATCGTCGTGTCCCAGGTTGGTCAGGGTAGCGGTAGCTGTGGGGGTCTTGCTCCCGGCGTGGTTGGCGAAGAACCGCAGCTGTATGGTGCTGCCTTTGGCAAAGAAGACCTTGTCCTGTCTGTTCACCAGGGTCCATGATTTGCCATCAGCTGATTTATGGCCGACAATAGCACCAGCAACCTGAGGACCACAATATGTATTTATGTATTTTCGATAAGACCTGTCTCTTATCTACAGATTTGGTCTATACAGTAAAATCCCGTTTGGACGGAAATTTCACTTTTCTGATGTTTATTGGTAGGTAGATGTACGTATGTATATGACAGTCGATATATATATATATATATATATGTATATATATATATATATATATATATATATATATATATACACATGCACAAAAGTTAAGCGCCACCCACCATATTTGTGAGCTGTTACTTTTGGCACTTAATGATGACTATTATAATGAGATGTACGATTGTTATAAGCCGTATATGTAAACCTCATGTGATGCAAAAGTTGTCCCAAAGCAAGTTTATCTTGTGTTCCAAAAGAATATGAGCAGAAAGGAATTTTACCGAAGACCAGAAATTGAAGGATTAGAAAACATTGAAAAACATTTTTTGTCATGTAACTGTCATGATATCAGCAGACCATATCAGGTGTCACATAGACACCCTAGGCAGTGCAGAGTCTATTGCAAGACAGAAACGTCAGTAGCGTGTGTATGATCCACGGACATTGACCACAGCTTCAACCCTACGCCTCATACGCATTACAAGTCGTTGAATACTTCTCTGAGGCAAATGGATCCATTCTTCATGAAGTGCGGCTTCATGTCCAGCGAGATTTTGAACTTGGGGATCACGATGTCTGTATTTCCGGCCAAGAATGTCCCAGAGATGCTCAATCGGATTAAGATCCGGACTACAGGCCGGCCATGGAAGAGAGGCAATAGCTTCTTGACGCAAATAAGCCAAAACTGCCCGAGATCTGTGTGGTCTAGCATTGTCGTCCATGTAAACAGGTCTTGTCTGAAGAGGATGGTTGTCAAAATGAGGGTCTACCACTGGACGAAGAATGGCATCTTGGTATTGTTGGCCATTCAGGTTTCCACGAATTGTCACCAGCGGAAGTTTGCAGCCGAAGGAAACACAACCCCATATCATGACAGACCCCCCGCCACATGCTAAGGTCTTCTGGATGTTCCTTGGTGCAAAACGAGTGTTACGTTGCATCCAAACACGTATTCGACCATCAACAGTTCGTAGCAGCATTCGACACTCGTCAGACGAATGGATCCTTCTCCAGTTGGCCAAGTTCCATCGACTACGGGCACGACACCATATCAGACGATTCCGCATGTGCCTCTCAGTCAGTTGAGGACGTTTTACTGGTCGTTATAACCAGCTGATCTGAGGCGACGCCTTACGGTCATCGTCGAGAGTCTCTGATGGGTAATCCACTGCAGTCTTAAATCTGTTGAAGGGCAAATGGATTTCGTCTGACTATCCTGAAAAGACGTCTATCCTCTCTATTAGAGGTTTTTCTTGGCCTACCAGACCTATGCCTGTCATTGACATCATTGGTTTGACCATGTTTGACAATCAAACGAGTGATAACACTGTGATGACGACCAATTTGTCTTGCAATGGCCCTGCATGACATGCCAGCATTTTTCATGTCTATCACTTTCCATCTTTAAGCGTTCGTTAATTTTTTCCTCACCATGGCTGATTTTCAACCTCTATTGGAAGGGGAATCTCACACAGGAGCAAAATGCAACCACGTGTCTGAAACTTGAATTTCACTATTTATAGGGTTGGGGAACTGCAGCAACACGTAAAGCACGCTTTCCTTGTGGTATCTGGACAAATTTGGGTTCATGAAACTATGGAAACTATATTATGTATTTCGGAAGGAACTAATTCCATGTGGACCTTTTGTTTGTTTGTTTGTTTGTTTGTTTGCTGTTGCCAGAGTCGAAGAGTATAAATGTACCAGCAAATTGCATTTACTTTACTCTTTTAACTGCTACTGAGACAATAACGCCGCGGTACCTACGTCCATCTTGTCGACTGAAGTAGACCACTGGATGTCCACCTTCCACCCTTCAATGCGCTCAGTGACCGGGAACTCAAACTGAGCCTCAAACCGGGTGCCCCAGTCGTTGAAGATTTGCATGGCGTTGGTTGTGGCCACTTCACCGCCCCCGACGCCATTGTGAGCTGCAGGTATAAACACCATCATGATCAGTCAGCCAATATTAATATATGTGTATGTCACCCACCAGGAGAAAGGGGACTTTATGGGTGCTAAGATACAATTGTGCTGTCACATCACAAAGACTCTGGCAAGTGTGGGTTCGAATCCCGGACGGGACTCAACCCAAAAAAGTACGAGAATCTGTACTTTACTAAGAAAGTGTTATCCCAAATATAACATTTGTCTTTCGGCCAATTTATACTTGTCAGAGGGGTACTCAAAGTACGTGATCTAGACTACCAGTTGTCGGACTTTCATTTTTGTGGAAGCCTCGGTGGGTTAGATCGCTGACTTTGGGTGCTGGCGATTAGGTGCCTCTCTCTGGCAAGTGTGGGTTCGAATCCCGGACGGGACTCAACCAAAAAACGTACGAGAATCTGTACTTTACGAAGAAAGTGTTACCCAAAATATAACATTTATTACATTTGACCACTTTCTAAACGGCATTGTGTATTCATCACAAAGACGTTTGACGTCAAGTTACTTCAGTGAAGATCGCCATGTGTGAGGACTGTACAATACTATCTTATTTTTCTCTCGTTATTTCGTAATGAAATAAAAAGATAATTTCAAAACCTTTCGGCATTGATGTCTACTCTCAAATCTTCAAGAATTGTGTCTAAAAACTTCAATTATTACTAAAACAATAAGTCGGAAAATGAGTCCAAATGTTTGATGTCATGTATCTCTGTAATAAATATAAACTGAACCCTGTGAATTGTATTTTTGTGTTCCGAAGATATTGTAGTTTAAAAATCTAATGAGTCCAAATGTGATTGTTCACCCGTAAGGTCCTATAACAGTGGGTCACAGATGTTGATAAACATAAAAACAGTGTCGACATTAAACACACGCCACATTTCTTTCAGTAAATCATTTGGTTTTCAAGAAATTGATTTCAATTACAATGTGACCGATAATTGAGTTTACAGGTGTAAAATTCGATTTAGAACTACTTCATACAAGCATTCTTATAACTGCTATATACTGCTATGTAACACGTAACGTTACGTGCAATTGTGGAACCTCATATTGTCAAACAAGCTTTTATGGGCAATTTTTTCAACCTATCCCAAACTGAAATTATAGTATTTTAGAACAAAACAAAACATCTTTTTGTATATGAAAATGTTTTCTTAAAGTGGCTATCGCAGTATGCGTTGATTAGTGCATGTCATTCACAAATAAAGTTGCATGGTTTAGCAGAGGATAAATACAGGATCAAACACAATATGTATATCGCAAACAACTATGAAGAACGAAGTGTGATTTAATTCACGATGAAACATTGTTCTATCCTGGCGTTATTTCTGGAGGTTTGATGACGTCGTAAATTAGATGATGATATTTTTGAGAGGGAAGTGTCTTGTGAGTTGTACCCCATAGATGTTTTGTTCGTTGTTTAACGCCGCACTAGGCAATATTACAGGTTATGACGGCGGTCTGTAAATAATCGAGTCGGGATCAGACAATCCAGTGATTGAGCATCGATCCATCCATGCAATTGGGATACAATGACATGTATGAACCAAGTCAGCAAGCCTGACCATCCGATCCCGTTAGTCGCCTCTTACGACAAGTATAGTCGCCTTTTGCGGCAAGCATGGGCTGCTGAAGACACCCCCTCCCCCCTAGATGTAGCTGGGCAACGTACATAAATGCAATTGTCGAACGATCGCTTCCAAAAGTAGGAGAGATGTGACAATCTGAATTGGGAGAAAAGGTACAGATAATCGACGTGAAAATTGTGAGAATGTGAGACTACAGTCCCCCCCCCCCCCCCCGTTCATAAAATGGACTGGTCCGACATTGCCGCGAATTCTATTCAGGGAGTCATCATTAGTTAATTATAAATACAGGTTAATATTTTTAAAGCATTTTTAAAGCTAATTATAACATCCTTAAAGAGGCTGTACGTAATGTTGATATCTCATATAAGAAATGTTTATCGCCCCTCGTGGTTTATTCTCCCTTCGGTCTTTTATCGTACGGCAAACAACTCCCATTCATCGTTTATTTCTTAAATATCCTGTAGAGACCGGTGGACATCTTATAGTTTGAGCGACAAATGTACCATCACTTACTGACTTTAGTAGACGCTGGCACTTTTACCGTGGCACCTGGCTGTGCGGTGTTGTGATTGTTATTGCCGCCAGAAGGCGTCCCTGTAGACCCGCCGCCAGAAGACGTCCCACTGATGGGCATCCCCTCGACCGTCACGGTAATCTGCGGAGTTACATCTCCGCTTGTGACGGCCACGATGTCCAGACACAGCTGATCCCCAACATGCTCATCAGCGTTCCATTTCTTGTCCGATAAAATGTATTCCATTCCATTCGTCTTTTGGACGTCAGCTGTGCCGCACTGTTGTTGAAAATATATGCGTGGTGATTGTATTAACAGGTCGTACTAGTTCGATGTGCCGTTTTTGGGCGGTAGATAGGGGGTGAGGGCGGGTACAGAGGGGGAGTGTGTGTGTGTGTGTGTGTGTGTGTGTGTGTGTGCTTTATTTCTGTATAAATTACCACCAAAGACAATAAATAGATCTTAATTGTGCACCCCCCCCCCCCCTTTTCAAAAAAGCTGTATCCGCCATTGGGGTGTGGGGTGAAATGGGGTTTAATTAACGTCGCGTCCAAGATTTTTGCACTTATTTTGCGACGTGCATGCACGTGTGTGTGTGTGGCTGCTTGTACTCGTCCGGACTGATGCCGATTTTATAGTGCTAGCCCACCCAGATACCATGCCGCAGTTTAACATGAATACCCCACTCAGACACAGTATACTGACTCCGAGCCGACCAGTCCTTGTTTTAGCCCCTTAATGCCGAGCGCCGGACAGGGTAACAACAAGTACCATCTTTCAGCGTCTTTTGGTATGACGCGGCCGGGGATCGAACCCCAGACCTTCCTTTCTCCGGGCGGACGTTCTACAACTAGACCACGGAGACCGTCCGGGGCTTTGGATAGTCTAGTGGTCCATATAGGTTCAATGTGTTGTGCCCGTTTCTGGTGTCCCCGCCGTGATATTAATAGAATACTGTTAAAAGCGGCGTAAAACTTTATTCAATCACTCGTATTCCTATTTGGTTACATGAATTTTATTGCTCTGAGGTCAAGGTGACATTACCTTAGTTTGCACATTGGGCAATCACGTGAGTGTTGGTCCTCACCGATTCCTGTCATAGCAGTATGATAAAGTTGGAGATGAAACCTATGCCCGTAAATATAATTAAACCTAAATCAGTTTTTTCTCCAGGCCAGCTAAACCATGCCTTATGCTTTTGTAAATAAAAGCGACAAAGTCCTTTCCATATTCATAAGAATCCGGGGGCGGTCGGGTAGCCTAGTGGTTAAAGCGTTCGCTCGTCACGCCGAAGACCCGGGTTCGATTCCCGACATGGGTACAATGTGTGAAGCCCATTTGTGGTGTCCCCCGCCGTGATATTGCTGGAATATTGCTAAAAGCGGCGTAAAACCATACTCACTCACTCATAAGAATCCGCTGAACGATTTAGAGTTCATTGTACGATGCCGACTATATCATAAGCATGTGTTTATGAATCACTATCAAATGGTGATGATTCAAGGTGTTCGCGAAAAGGTTAGCGTATCCTGCCCCAACCGTCACAAACACATGCAAAGGCACGTCACCGGAGCACATGGTGCACGTCAAAATAGGGAACTACATCGGGCATAATTTCTGTCCACCATTTAAGTAGAACATGCTACTAATCATAAACCAAAATGATCAAGAGGTTACTTACATTTATACTATCCACTTCTTTATCAAAATGCAGGTGCACCTTCCATGAGTGAAGCTCTTGAGTGATGGGGATGCAAATCTTGGCCTGGAAACCACCGTTCCAGTGGTTGCCGATATTCACTGAAAGGTCTGCCCCGCAGAGGGCGATACTACTTGCCAACAGCAGCAGAAGCATCTTGAGACTACAACAAGCGATGGCCATGAACTACCTGATACACACGATTTTAGAACCGTTAGGAGTGAGTGGGTGAGTATAGTTTTACGCCGCTTTTAGCAATATTCCAGCAATATCACGGCGGGGGACACCAGAAATGGGCTTCACCCATTGTACCCATGTCGGGAATCGAACCCGGGTCTTCGGTGTGACGAGCGAACGCTTTAACCACTAGGCTACCCGACCGCCCCTTAGAACCGTTAGGGACCGACCGCTTAATTATAGAGGGGACGTTAGGGTGTGCGTGAAGGCGCTAGTACTAGACTTTCTCTGGAAGGAGGAGACTTTTGTTGGATCCATCCACTGACGTTTTTGTAAAACCATAGGACAAAATTATGCTTAACGTAACAGAATTTCTCACTAAAAAGGGGCGGTTGGGTAGCCTACTGGTGAACGCGCTTGCCCGTCACGCCGAAGGGCCGGGTTGATTCCCCTCATGGGTACAGTGTGCGAAGTCCATTGATATCATTGCCTTGATATTGCTTGAATATTGCTAAAAGCGGCGTAAAACAATAACCACTCACTCTGACTAAAAATATATATATATATCTCAGACATCCTAGAACGTTAAATCATCTGACCCGTACTCACAAATATAACAAAAGTCAGCACCATACCCGTGCTCATGGGTTTCACCGAAGTGATAAACGTCTAAGACCTGCATCACCTCGGGCTTTCCTCCCACATTAAGCTGACACGCCGTGATATAACTGGAATACTGTTAAAAGCGGCGTTAAACCCAACTCACTCACTCACAATAGTCTTGTAGCAACTGAGCCTCTGTTAGGGACACTAGCAAAAGTGCAGGTATCAGTAAGATGACAACTAGTGAATCATATAACGTAGAGATGTAATGCCTTGCACCTTATCTGTATAATATTCGGAAAGTAGACACGGAAGCAAGTATAGATATCGTTAATTCATCTGGGTTACTTCAGTGGCATGAGTATATTTCTACATGGTTGTTTCATTTTAGGCCATTTCATGCAACTTCGCTTACCTTGCTCAAGTCCCGTGTGTGTCAACTAGCCAGCTGGCATTGTGGGCTTTATGTCACAGTTTGAGATAAACCATCTATTTTCGTTATTCCTATCTCTTTTCGTGACATCCTAAGAAAACAAGATAACCATACTAGTCAAAAAATATTTTTAAAAGTACTTGCCGGCACTTGGTACTATTATCTAAAAAAACGGTTTCAGATGAAGCACATTTTAAAGTTTGTATGCACTTGGTACTATTATCTAAGAAAACGGTTTCAGATGAAGCACATTTTTAAGTTTGTATGCACTTGGTACTATTATCTAAGAAAACGGTTTCAGATGAAGCACATTTTTAAGTTTGTATGGAGATCGGCATTTCTCCACATGACATTATCACATTTATTGATTTTCAGAACTACCGATTTCCCATTAAAATATCATGCATGTATACTATTTATTCCTTTGAACACACAATGCCATTTAGAAAGTGGTCTACTGTATCTAATAGCTCGCACACAAAGTCCGCGACCCACTCAGTCACCGGGCTTCCACAAAATAAAAGTCCGACAACTGTTTATTTAGATCACGTACTTTGTGTACCCCTCTGACAACTGTAAATTGGCAGGCTCATATGGCCGAAAGCTATGAACACACAATGCTATTTAGAAAGTATGTAACACATGTTATATTTGGGTTAACACTTTCTTCGTAAAGTACAGATTCACACCCCAAAAGTACTAGAATCTGTATTTTACTAAGAAAGTGTTATCCCAAATATAACATTGGTTATATCCATTTTTTTTATTAGTATACAGTTTTACAAACGTCTATAGTATGACACAATGACTGTATCAACGATGCATGTATCTGGAAAGGTGTAACAAATGCATTAAGGTAGTTCAATCACATCAGGGTATTCTGTTTAACATGGGGTGAGGTGAAATTGGGTTTAACGTCGCGTCCAAGATTTTTGCACTTATATAGCGTCGTGCATGCACGTGTGTGTGTGTGGCTGCTTGTACTAGTCCGGACTGATGCCGATTTATAGTGCTAGCTCACTGAGATACCATGCCGCAGTTTAACATGAATACCCCACTCAGACACAGTATACTGACTCCGAGCCGACCAGTCCTTGTTTTAGCCCCTTAATGCCGAACGCCAGACAGGGTAACAACAAGTACCACGGAGGCGGTCGTTTAACATGGGAAGAACACCATGGTTACCCTCTAAAATACATTGCTCGCTGTACATATGGATGTCCTGAAAACATGTGTTGTGAAAACAGTAATTGTACGGCTCCCCCCCTCAAACATTGCGTGTTTGGTGACAGGTGGAGGACATTTCCGGGTTTTGCGCATGGAGCCCGGGGCGGTGTCCGATGCCGTGACCGTTTTGGCTTGTGCCATGTGCTTCCGTCTTTTAGGGTGAGCGGAGGCGGGATGTGTATCATTGTAGAAACTATACTTAAATAGACGCGACAGATACCCAGGTAAACCAGTTAGTACCAACTAATGCATCAGTGAGTGAGTATGGTTTTACACCGCTATTAGCAATATTCCAGCAATATCACGGCGGTTAACGAATGCACCAAGAGTACAATATGTAATCAACACAATATGACGGCATTTCTTGTGATCCACATAACTGAGGTACAATTTGAAGTATGTAAGCGAGTAAATGAGTTGTGTTTTATGCCGCTTTTAGCTATATTCTAGTCATATTGAGGCGGGGAAACACCGAAAATGGGCCACGTGGGGATTCGAACTCGGAACGAGACAATGCAACCACTATACCACGCAATCGGCAAGTCTAGGAAGTGTGTAGTTGAATATGGCCATATTTGATTTAGGTAATATCATGAGCCGCCAACAAATATTCTCCATCGGCTCAGTACAAAGTATCATTAAATAAAAGCGACAAAACAATTGGCATAACAATTATCCATTGTACGATTCCGACTATAGCATGGGTATCAAGAAACACTGTCAGTGATGACACCGGGTGTTGGCTGAAAGGTGAGTGTATCCTGCTCCGTGGCACCCGTCACAAACACGGGCTCAACAAGTCACGTGTTCACCTGCAAAAACCCACGGGATCATATTGTACGAAGGAATTGCGTCAGGCATAATTTTTGTCACTGATGCGTAAATTGTGGAAATGTTTACCAAAGAAACGTTTTGAAAGCTTTACGAAGGCCTTGAATGTTGGAACCGTGATGAAACAATTTCGAGAAAGAGTCACTTGACGGTCTTTGAATCTTGGCAGATGAGTATGCTCGATTGTACCTCAAAAGACTGGAATATTGCTTGACATAAAGTTGAAGTCATCCCTCTTGTCAAACAGTATTGTGGATAAGTTCTTGTATCTTAACAAGTCTCTGAATCTTTATGCGTAGATCTATATATGAAACAGAAGAGGCGGTCACATTGATCTCTTATATGAAGAGGGGCAGTGGTGACCGAGTCGTCTAAGGCGCCGCAATTCGCTGTGCAGAGTTGCGTCCCTTGGGCACGCCAGAAACGTATGATCATGGGTTCGAATCCTGGTTCGCCCCGGGTATGTTTCTAGGTTTTTCAGCACCATACCCGTGTTCGTCGGACCCACCAAACTGGTAAACGTCTGAGATCTGCATTACTTCGGGCTTTCCTCCCACATTAAACTGATACGCTTTAATATAACTGGAATATTGTTCACAGCTACGTTAACCCCAACTCACTCATTCTTTTATAAAGAAATGTTGAAGGAGATCTAGGCATTTTACAAATCACATTTGGTGATGAAAGAGACATGAATTAATAAAAAAACCACTTCCTATTACTTTTTTAGTTTTATCTGTCTGCGCCCTGAATGAAGAGCGTCTGTTTACTGTTTCCCTATCACTCTGTCTGCAACCACCTACCTCGGACATGGTGTTGTTCTTATTGATATGGTGTGGTGATTCGTTTCACGACTTCATGGTATCGTCATTGTAGATAATGAATCATGTTTGGTTCATAATTCAGTGTTTACCCAGGATTCAAGTGTTTTTTCGAAAGTGCTGTGCACATCATGATTGATCCAAGCTTTGCACCAAATGACCCAGTACTGACATGGAGCATTGCAAAAAATGACCCAGTGCTGACATGAAGCATTGCACCAAATGCCCCGGTACTGACATGAAGCATTGCACCAAATGACCCAGTACTGACATGAAGCGTGGCACCAAATGACCCAGGACTGACATGAAGCATTGCACCAAATGACCCAGTACTGACATGAAGCATTGCACCAAATGACCCAGTACTGACATGAAGCATTGCACCAAATGACCCAGTACTGACATGAAGCATTGCACCAAATGACCCAGTACTGACATGAAGCATTGCACCAAATGACCCAGTACTGACATGAAGCATTGCACCAAATGACCCAGTACTGACATGAAGCATTGCACCAAATGACCCAGTACTGACATGAAGCGTGGCACCAAATGACCCAGTACTGACATGAAGCGTGGCACCAAATGACCCAGTACTGACATGAAGCATTGCACCAAATGACCGAGTACTGACCTGAAGCATTGCACACAGTTACTCAGTATTAACATGAAGCATTGCACCAAATGACCCAGTACTGACATGAAGCATTGCACCAAATGACCCAGTACTGACATGAAGCATTGCACCAAATGACCCAGTACTGACATGAAGCATTGCACCAAATGACCCAGTACTGACATGAAACATTGCACCAAATGACCCAGTACTGACATGAAACATTGCACAAAATGACCCAGTACTGACATGAAGCATTGCACCAAATGACCCAGTACCGACATGAAGCATTGTACCAAATGACCCAGTACTGACATGAAGCATTGCATCAAAAGACCCAGTACTGACGTGAAGCATTGCACCAAAGACCCAGTACCGACATGAATCATTACACCAAATGACCCAGTACTGACATGAAGCAATGCACAAAATGACCCAGTACTAACATGAAGCAGTGCAGCAAATGCCCCAGTACTTACATGAAACATTGCACCAAATGCCCCAGTACTGACATGAAGCATTGCACCCAGTGACCCAGTACTGACATGAAGCATTGCACACAGTTACTCAGTACTGACATGAAGCCTTGAACCAAAGACCCAGTACTGATATGAAGCATTGCACCAAATGACCCAGTACCGACATGAAGCATTGCACCAAATGACCCAGTACTGACATGAAGCAATGCACCAAATGACCCAGTACTAACATGAAGCAGTGCAGCAAATGCCCCAGTACTGACATGAAGCATTGCACCAAATGACCCAGTACTGACATGAAGCATTGCACCAAATGACCCAGTGCGAACATGAAGCATTGCACCCAGTGACCCAGTACTGACATGAAGCATTGCACACAGTTACTCAGTACTGACATGAAGCATTGCACCAAATGACCCAGTACTGACATGAAGCATTGCACCAAATGACCCAGTACTGACATGAGGCAATATGTCAAGAGCAGTGACGTTATTCGTCAATATTTCCATGCTCCCTGTATAACCTAACATTAACCCGTAAACAGTACAGTTGGCATGCATTCTGTCCCGTGACTTGTGCATGGAGTTTTCACACATCGTGCTCTCTGCATGACACTTGTTTTGTAATGACCGTTGCGTGGGTGACGGGTGCTACGGTACAGCAGGACTTGCTAAACATGTTCGCGAACACCTGGTGTAATCATGATTTCCAGTGATCTATTTTCATCACTATTTTGCTTTTTACGTCATGTGGAATCTGTTTTCCAAGGAATTTACCAAGGTTGTCGATTATCAGTGTCTGTTGTTTTGGACACTGGTGTGTACATTCGTTATGGAATTTCTTCAAGGCTACCACTCTGCTGATATTGCGTTGACCTCTCACTCACGCCGCATGATTTACCATGGCTGTAAATAGATGTTTCTGACCCTGGAACAATCTGGAGAGTATATACTACCGACACACACACAAAAAAAGGAACTAGTGAAACGTACGGTGGCCCAAAATGGACATGGAGTCTGTTTTTCAATATTTTGATATTTCACTTACTTTTATCGTAACCTTTTGCAAATTAACACAATTTGTCATTCAAATATGTGA